TGCAATCTGCATTTGGGGTAAAATTGGGAGTTCATAACCCACTTCAATCTAATGTATGAAATATGATATGTCATGAGCTTTGTAATGTTGTGAACAACCAATAAAAAAAATAATAAAAAAAATTAAAAAAAAAAGATTCTTATAGTGCCCACTAGTCTAGCTACAGTTAAAAATCTTTTMAGACTTTCCATTCCAAATCTATTGCACTCATCATCTCAAGTTTAATATTTGGCTCAAGGCTGTGCTGACATACTTGATGTGGATAAAGGCATGTTTTTATTTTCTCTGAATTAAAGGTGTATCAATGGAGTCCCCTTAAGATATTTAATAATTTTTAAAGTCACTACGCTCCTCTGCTATGCTACCCAAATCTCTTTAAAATGAAGAATTTCACATGATCAGACTGCTCTAGATGAGCAGATCAAAAACAAAAACCATATACAAAGTAAAAACTGCCTTTATATTCTTCATTAGGATTATTATGGCATATGCCAAACAAGTGCACTCATATAAGACTATAGGATGGAGAGAGAGACTGGTGGTTCTCTGCTAATTAAAGGCTCAGCTCTGGATTCAGCCTTATTTTTTTTTAAAAAATGCAACAAACAAAAGCAACTAGTAATGTTTGCACATAGTACCTTGCCACAAGAACAGCTCTGACAATTTTGTTCAAATTTCTAATTTCAGAAATCTGGTATATAATTGTTTCTTATACTTTAGTTTTAAAGAAACTTCTGACTCCTTACTATAGTTTCATATCAAGAATAAAAAGGGTGGGTCAATTTTCTGTTTTGTTAGACTTATTGAAACGTAACATTACAGTCTTTTTTCTCTCTTTTAAACATTATTTGTATACTTATTAAATGACTTTTGTGAACTCGGCATTGTTCCAGGTATCTGCTTGAGGGAGAAGAGTATAAAGTGAACTTTTAAGAGTTTATAAGCAGACTACAACATGAAACATACTATTTGTTTAGTATCATTCTGAAGTAAGTTGTGTAGATATCAAGGGCAACACACTGAAAAAGTGGAGACATTCCAAATGAAGGAGACAGACTTGTAAAGGAGGCTGAAACTTGACTTTGGATTTGAAGGACGTTGAACTTCTCTATGAAGAAGAAAGTATTTTCCATGTAATTAAAAGAGAATGAAAGGACTTAAGTTTATAGTTGGAAAATAAATTTAAATCTAAGATTAAAAATGCCTGTTTCATTCATTCAAGAGAAAACAACTTAGTTGGCATTCTATAAGGAAGATCAGCTAAGTTGAACTGTCTGGTGACCTTCAATAAATTACTTTAAAATTTATTAAGTAATAAATCAGGAGCCAAGACCAAAGGAGTAAAGGCTTAAATAATGCTTAAATGAACTGAAAAGGCAGAGTCCCCTTTAAAAAAAAATCTGTTTTATTAGACACTCCTGAACATTTCTTCAGTTATTTAATTGTAAATCTGCTCTTTAAGATACAGCTTACACTAAGAAAACACCCTGAGAAGACTTATCTCACAAAGGCCAGGGATGCCATTCTCCATGCTTTGCAAATACAATTCTCCAAAACAGACAATGGCTTGAAGGATGAGCAGTAAGTGATGTTTGCTCTTCTAAGGGAAGGGGTCTATTTGTGGGAGCTAAGTATAATTTCCTTCAGTGTTTACACTTATAAATGAAACAGGCATTTGGAGAGTAAAAATAACAAAGGGTTAATGGCAGCTGAAAGTCAGTAGCTGATCAGGTGGGAGCCACACTTTTCAGAACACGATCATAAAATACACTTTCTACTTTTGTCTATGTGCCACTTAGGCAAAGGCATCCTTCAAAGAGCAATGGATATAAATCGCAAAGAGTTAAATCATATTCTCCTTGTTGTGTAAGTTTTTTCTCTCCAACAAATTCCTAGAAGAAGAAATGTATGGCAAATTACTCTTCCCTTACCATGGTGCTGCTCTCTACACTTTACCCTATAGTCTCCCTGCTGTTAACCAGATTGCAAGCTTAACCACCAATGACCTAGAAAGGCATATCTTTTGATGCCATCTGGCCTTTTCTTTTCTTGTCTTCTTTCTCATGTGACTGGTAGCTCAGGATCCTCCTGTATGGGGTTGCCAAATCATGGGCTGTACGACTTTGGGGAAAAGAAAGCAGACAAGAAACAAAGAAGAAAAAAGCTTGGTTTGGTTTGAAAATCCTTATTTACTGAGAAAAGATAACATGCAAGTATCATACAATGTTTTTCAAGTCTCCAGAGAGTAGAAGAGCTGATACAGAGAATAGGCATGGTCCTGCACCTGACATTATAAGATTGATGGAACCAAACTTAATGGAAAATTACTTTTTTAAAAAATTTAGCCCCCTGGTTAGCATTTACTTAACTTTTATTTAGCACACAGGTATTCTTTTAAACACATGGAGAGCTCAATAAAAGCTATAAAAGCCAAAATCATTCCTAAATTAGTATGAGTGATAGTAAAGCAAAATTAGGATTAGATACTGTAGCAAGAAGGTGACCGATGAGAAAACTCAAGTCTCTTGGCRGGGGCGGTGTTGCTAGAGAATGGAGAGATGCTAATGTTCTTTTATTTTCAAAGACAATATGAAGGTTGTTTTAAACTGAGATTCAAAAGTGGGTTTTACCCAGGGAAAAGGCAATTTGCAGTTACTAACCCTGTTAAGTGCACATAMCTTTAGAAAGGACAAGCCCTTATGGGAAAGAGAACAATTAAAGTCTGTTTGCTTTTTGTTTGAGTAGAGTGGGATCATTTTTCCCTAAAGGAACCMATGTTGCTTTTGGTCTCAAATCCTGTAAATATACTGCCAAACTGATGTATCATAGAATAATGGAGAGAAATGATTTTGCTGTAAAATGGCCCCTCGTAGTAGCTATAATATTTTAAAGCACAGGTATATCAATCTATAAGAAGCACACGTTGTTGTGGGAGAAGAAAGAATTTCCTTTCAGGGTGGAAAAAAAAAACAATATACAAACTGCAAGCATCATATGACTATGCTTTTCAATTCTTAAATTTTGTCAACTTGCCTCTGGAAACTCTAATCCCCCTAACCCAACAATAAGAAATCTAACCCTTGCCCACCCCACAAACTGTTTATTGGCTGATGCTGCTGGAGGCACAGTCCTGCACTGGAACTTGCTCGCCTTTCATTCCTCCACTACAGGATACCAAGACTTTGCCAAGTA